AGCTTTGAATATAACCCACGATATTTCGAGAATAAATTAGACTTGTACGGCCAGGCTGCTGCTACACGGCTCGCACGGCAATTAACCAACACGTACGACATGAAACCGTTGGCCGACAAAGAAATGGTTCCTGGGAGATACGTGCCACAGGATGCTACTCTGGACGAATGGGCCTATTATGTGAAACAGAACTACCGTGCGAACTATCACGGGGTGGGTACATGTTCCATGATGAAGCAGGAATATGGCGGCGTTGTCAATCCTGAGGCCAAGGTGTATGGTGTGCAAGGCCTTAGAGTAGTGGACGGCTCGATACCGCCGACACAAGTTTCTTCACATGTTATGACCGTGTTCTATGCCATGGCGGTGAAGATCGCTGAATCAGTGATTGCCGATGCACCCAAGCCCAAGGAATATATACATTGCTAGATGGAAATAGTAACCCGATGAGGATGTTGGTACGAAGGGGATGATCAACAATGCTGGAGGGTGCTGGTACAGGATCTATAATTGACAAACGCCTATCTCTGTTTGGAATACTATCCACTGAGTCAAGACAAAACGTTCAACAGTGAAACTTGCGTAACTTATTTAAAGTAATTGATACAAGCCGCATCTCGATCACCCTGTATGAAGTGATACTTGTGAGATGTTACCCTCCTCTTGTACCTCTCTTTATGGAGCGTTCTGTCAACTCTGTTTCTGAAACGTCGTAATCCATTCTATGATTGTATCATAGAATGCTGCAGTGGCTTTCAGGTCTGGAAAAAGGTGGAAGGCATGGGGCAAGCCAGCATAGACCTTTGTGTGTACAGGAACACTGGAGTGATGAAACTATTAGATCCTGTTTGGAGGCGTCCCCAAATCCTGGCATCAAAGTTGTCTATATTGAGGGCAAAGTACTCACCCTGCCTTTTCTAGAGCCTCGTCATAAGCGAAACCCTCGTCACGAATCGGGTCTTGTCCGGCTACCTGAATCACTTTTTAACATAAATAACTGCGCACTACATAGAGGATGTGTTGAGGTATTTCGAGGGATACATACATGTAGGTGCCAACCCCGCCAAAGAATGCGCCAATAGAGGACTGGCATACGGATCTGCGCCGGCAGTGGGGCAATATTGCTCTGGGTTTCGGATGAGTTAGTATTCTGTTTTTGTATCTAATCACTGACAGAATATTATCAAGGCACTATACCCCAAAACCAATGAGCAGCATGCGTTGGCATCACTGGCGCATCCTTGTTTTGCTCCGGACTGTGATATTCATATTTGTCCTTTGGGAAGTGCGCCGGTTGGCATATGTCAGGTACATTCAGGACCTGACCGATGACAGCCCCAATGCCTTTGTCTCTGTCTTTCATAGCTAGCACGGCAGCCTAAAAAAAAATCAGAAACTGAATAGAGATGGTGGAACTTGGACGCGATTATACACACAATGTTTCCCCCAGAACTGCTTCCACCGACAATCACCTTCTTTGGGTTGATCTCTAGGGTATCTGCGTTATCTCTACACTGTGTCAAGGTCAATAGAAAATCATCAGGAACATACACCTGAAACTCGATGTCAATAGCTTACCCATTTAATTGCATCCCAGCAGTCATTGACGGCATAGGGAAATTGATATTCCGGGGCCCTATTTCTACCATCAGAACATTTCCAACAAGGAAGAACGTTTTGAATCTCATGTATGGGAAGGAATGTAGTAACTCACAGACGATAATTGACACTAACAACAACCGAGTCGGTTCTCTTGGCAACCAAACGATTCATGGCCTCTTCAGCTGTGTGGTCTCCAAGAACCCAGCCTTCGGAGTCAACCAGTTAACAAACCAGCTTATCATATACAACAATGGATCACATTCATACCTCCTCCATGCGCGACAAAGGATAACGTTGAGTTCTGGCCAACGGCCTTATCCTTGTAGATCCTAAGTTCCAGCTCAGCGCCGTCCCGAGCCGTGATATTTCGATGGCTAATCTCAACGCTCTCAGTGATTGACACATCATATGGAAATGTCACTGGAAGCTGAGACATGATTTCACGCATCTCCATGGCTGACAGTGTGTTCATCTCGGCAAACGGACTGGGCATGTCCTTATATTTGTCGAAGTCGGGGTCGGGGATAGAATAATGCGCGTATCGCAATGACTGTTCCTTTGTTTCGGACGACATCTTTGCTAGAGCTGTGGCAACAACTTGGGATTCGAGTTAAATTGAAGTTAATTGTTTATTCTGCCAGGCGAGGCCGCGATGAATTATCTTTCCATTGAGAATTGCAACATGACATTTATCGATATATAGCCTGCTGGTTTCGGGAAATGTCTATCTATATTCCCAGCTATAGGAGTACGTCACTTTGTCATAGTAGAAGGCTCCTCTCCGTAAGAAACATAAGTCTTCGCTAGCTGCGCACGCACGAACTGTAATGATGTAGTGTTAGCTACTAACAACGCACCCAGCGATCCACACCATATTACACTTCCTTCACCAGCTTTGAACGACTTTACACAAGCTGGTCTATCATCAGAGACACAATTTGGCAAAACGGACACAATTGTATCATAGTTAACCCGGAAGAAAAAGGGGATAGAGTAACGTTCTTGACCAGTCATATTGACACTCGTTGAACAGTTGACTTAAACGTCTGATTTGTCCTAGAGAGGTCAGCATGCATATAGCGCTCAAAAATCCCTTAAACCCAAGCATACCACATGGACAAACAATCAGCGATGTTTACAACCAGTGTCCCTGGGATAGGAGGTGTCACCACCCATTTGCCCCGAGCGTTGCGGACTTGCAAAGCGAGTACGTTATCCTGGGACAAAAATAGTAAAGCATTCGTAGTCCTAGGAAGGCAACCACAATAAGCTGGACCAACACCAAGAATGGCGGTACGGTTGATCATTACAGTGATTACAACAATAGCCTTGGAGAAAGCAAGAAGCAAATCACCTCTTTCCTTTTCTAATTTAATGAGCAGAAACAAGCCCTTGCATGCAATATCCTACGGCAACGCTTTACAGCAGCGACGAAAGATCCGTTAATAAGATTCTTCCCGCGGGTTACGATGTTTACAAGTCCCCAGGGATATGAAAGATAATGAAAATCCGATCTCTTGTGGTGAACTCTTTGTATGATTCCCATACTCGAAGATTTCCAACTTATAGCAAATCAAGGGCCAGAGTACCGATTTTGTCAAGGTTGTGTTTACTAAGTAGCCACACTTCTTCTCTCATACCTTTGCAGGTTGGCAAGGACTCGCCTCCTTCTGACATCGAAATGCTTCATGGTTCTGGTAAGCCATAAAGCCCGTCCCAGGAACGCATCCAACATACTCAGCATCAATTTCAGGTGCCTTGAGTATGTTTGTCTCCACCCACAAGGCTACTTTCCCACATTCCGACATAATCCCGCCAGGCCCATATGTTTTCAAAATATTGTTACGCAATGCAACATGGCCTTTGTTAGATCGACCCGCTCTTTCCATGGACCTAAGATCCATAAAGTAGAAAAGTTCGACTTTTCTATTGTACTTGTGGAATACGCTATCCCCCTCCTTGTAGGTCCCCAGGCGCTCGTCGTAGCACATACGGGATGTTAGAATTCCCGCTTCTGGGGCTGCGTGAGCCAGATCGTCCATCCACTTGCAGGCAGCTTGATCAAATTGGTCAAACCAAACACCTCTTTCAGCTCCCGTCATCTCGGAAAGGTCCTGCCTCTCAAGATTAAAGCAAAGATTGTCAGGGAATCCATTGAATGTGACACGTCCCAAAGTCTTTTCTTTGGGAGAGGCCTCTCGTTCCGGTATTGGTGGCACTAGCAGAGGGGAATCCATGCGGTTTTCTTTTGACAATTCTCTGATTGAATCTCTGATCCAACCCCAGTAACCGTTCTTGTCAGTCGGCTTGTGGGCGAAATGGACACCTTGACCGTCTTGCCGGTTTTGTGTGGCTTTGTATTGGGATCGACCGTAAGGAACCTTGACAAACTCGCGCCACATGCCTGCATCAGGAGGGAGAGACGACCAAAATTTGATAACACCGTCTGACTCCCACCAGGCCTCAAAGTCGGCGATCGATTTCCATGTGGCAATCCATATCCGTGTCTTCCCTATTCCTGGGAAAACAATCCCGTCCTGGGTTACTTGATCAAGGTGGCAGTTGGAGCCTGTTATGAGAAGACTGAATGTCCTGATAAGATTCTCAACAGCAGGTGATTGGAAACCGTCAGGCTGTTGGACCCCAAAGAGAGAGTAGACAAAAGTCCCTTCCAACGGTTTTTCGATAGTGTACATAGACATAGTGATAGTTTCCAAGGAAAAAGACCCAACAATTGCTCTTAATCCTTATTATTCTTAAGACAACCTTATACTGAATTTTATATATCTCCTCTCTTCGTTGCGATGCGATGCGGGATAATCTGTTCCAATCTCCAGCGGAATTCCGACTTTTATAGGTTAGTTTACGGACATGAAATGGAACACAAATTAACTTTGAACCCCGCAATAGGCTGAGACGAGCCTTCCGAGCCCTCCCTCCACCAACGTTCCGAGATTGCCTTGCTCAGGTCACAATCAGAACTGTGACTGGTTAGATCTAGGAGGCCTTACATATATAGTGTCCAATATGGGGCGATCTCCCTGGACAGAGTATGATTTCGGGAATTACAGAAGCATCACTAATGAAAGATCTCCGTACAGAGACAACCCGGATAGAACCTAGTAGGGTTGGAAAGAAGGCAGATTTCATCAATATAAGGTATTCGAACCCCGAGGATTAGAGAGGAATAAACTAATACTCACATACTGATACACTTAAGCGATTCTATTCTTAGAGATGTAAGAGGATGAAAAATAAAATAGTATTATTAAAGATCATATGTATAATTATCAGAAGATGTTGAAGCAAAGAAAATTAGTCCTTTAATTAGTCCTTTGTAGGAAAGTAGGCTAAGGAGACTTGATGCGGAGCTTTTGTTTACGCACACAGAAGTATATTCACTTAAAATAGACACTATTCTGACCGCGGTGTGCAGCATCGGGAAGTTGATTCTGCAGGATCCTTGTTAGCGAAACCTGCAATTTGTGGCTGGAAAGTCAAGTCACCTTGATATAGAAGAACCCGACTTGTATGTAGGCCTCGTAGATTTCCGTCGCTAGTCTCTGGCGATCTCTACGATCTGGACTGCTCAACGATGCGACGTCGGTGATCGGAATATTCTCAAAGTCTGTCACAGGTGGCTTTTTGGATCGATAAGGCTGCTCCATGATGGGTAGTGAGATGTTGGTGGTGTCGTTCTGTGGTTTGGGTATGTGAGTTCCGTCCCTTATCTGAAGATAACTCGCTACCCCGCTTTGATATCCTGAGTTCATCCGTCCTTCTAGAAGATATTTAAATTATCTATCTATTATTGGAGAGCCCCCTTACTCCGTGGCTGTATATTGACACATTACAATAGGTCTCCCTGGTTCGGTAGTACGTTTTACCCTATAAGCTTAGTATGTATTGATCCTGGCGTTTTGATACAGCCATGTGCTCTAGAACAAGACGTATGTAAAAGGCTAGTTCTCCGCAGTACGTCATACAAAGGATGTATATTTGGAGATGGCAATACTTCATCACTCGATATATCTTCCTAAGGAACAGCAATGTAAATATCGATACCGAACACGCGTTCAGGCCCATATTCCCAACCTATGCCATATACCAAAACCCAAACAGCCATCTCTCCATCCTCAACACATATCCCACTAGGCATTCCATATCAGCCCACCTCTCAACTCCTTGCCAAACATATGCAGTCCAACACTAACCAATCAGGCCATCCCCACTCAGCACCAGAAACTTCCTCGGTAGGTAATCTGTGTGCATTGGCACGGTACGTTACCACCGCAGCAATTATACGTCACTTCTGAGCCGGGCTCAACTGGCACGTCCAGGTCGTATGATCCATGAGGTGTGTCGTAGTGCAGCTTTCCCGGCTGGTGTCTCCAATCCGTAGTCGTTGTCCATTTGGCCTTATAGCCATCATTGCAGGTTGCATCGCAGGTAGTTGTCACCGCATTGCAGTTAAAGCTGCAGGTTTGGGTGCCGTCGTCTTTCAGCTGCACGTTCCAGGAGGTAGAGTGGGAGACGAAAAGGGTGCCGACAGCTTCGAGACATGCTTGGGCGCATGGGAGGAAGATGATGGAGAGAGGGAGGAGGGATTTGGGAAGCATCATGAAGAGTTTGGAATGATTTTGGAATTGGAGTAGTGGTGTATTGTAGAAGATAGGATGGAGACTTGCTTCTTTACTTTGTGCGAAGAGAAGGCTTGGGTTAAATAGTTTTGCTTCGTCTGTCCATTGTTCTGCTGTTCTGCCCGGGAAGTATACATAAGTCTATACACATACTGCAATCTATCAAGCTTTGTAGGGTTACATCCGGGGGAGGCTTTGTGGACGGCTATACCGAATCTACCACTCTAGTGGGAAGGATGAGGTCCACCGGCCCGGTCATGATCTGGCATACCCCAGCTTAGCGGAGGGAATTAAATCCCGATAATATGGGGTTGGACTGTTGCCAAGTATATTAATACTTTTAGTGCTTTGACTCAAGGCCTTCGTTATAATATGTGATGTTCCGAATCTAATCAATATCCTAATTAGGAAACCCGACAATGTAGTGCAGAAAGTCAATGGACTTCGATCATCCCCAGGATGATGTTTTCTCCCGTATTCATTTATTCATCCAACCTTATTTTGGATTTTCTTATCCTATTCAACGCTTGGTTCGGGGTTCCTAAACAGCGGCTCGTTTAATTGTATGCCTCGAAGCTGGTTAGGTCTCGGCAAGCTGCCGATACCATCGGCTTTACCGATGCGAACTGAGATGAGATGTTCCAATATCATAGCAATTTATCACTTTATCTTTATTCTTGAACCGAGATCGCTGTGTATGTACCTGAACTTTGCTTATATTTAGTCCTTTTTTCTTCTCTACCCATTCTCACATAGCTGGTCAAGCCTTCGTTCTCCCAGATTGACGCATCACCCTTGACGCCAATTATTGCGGTTTAAACCCAGAACAACCTACCACAAGCCGGCACCTCATCAAGATAGAAATGAGCCTGCCACCTTGAACACTTTACTAAACGTTCACAGTCCCAAGCACGACATGAAAGTGCTACAAACCAAATCCCCAACGGTCACATGCTTGCTATCTAAAATACCACCAAGCAGCCCCTCACGTCGTAGCGCCACAGCATTTGGTCAAAATCTGCGCCCGAAAAATTCCGGCCGTCGCCATTGTATTTTGCATTGATGGCGCGAGTCCAAAGACCCAGCGATCCGTTGCGTTAGTCCGGGGAATATTCCGCCATATGATAGGAGTTGTATCCCAGTTTCCTCGACGCAACGTACAGTGCTGTGCATATTGTTAGCCTCGCCTGTCCGATGGGAGCTGAGGTTCGGTCTAACCCACACATGATCCCTGTACGGGACATGCCCAGCGCGAGTACTTTCATCGGTTTCTCGCGATGCGCCGGTGGCTGCATTTGCGGATAAGCCACAGTGGGGAAGGGGATGCTGGGCCATGGTCGCGAGATCTCCAACCAAAGTTCGAGAATGGACCAGAGGAGAACGTGGGTATTAGTCCCATGCATCGGTCGACGGCATCTATATATACGATGCTTTTGCCTGGTGGCGTGGGAGTGCGGGTTTAGCGCCAGCGATGTTGGTCTTTGTTTCCCTGGCCTCCAGGATCTCAATCCCTGCTGCGTAGCTGTCTTCTCTTTGTTTGCCTAGACCGTTGAAGTTAAGCCAGCGTCAGCCTTGTTGTCTTACTAAACGCTTGGCACGCTCAGGTCTTGCTTTTCAACCGCTGGTGTAGCTCAGCAATTGACATGCCGCGATGCTACAACCCAGATTCATTCTATATAAGTGGGTATGGTGGCTTTACCCATGGCCCTGCAAGGAGTGCCAGGTGTACGTCTTTCTTGACTACTGTTATACTTACTAATGATCTTCTTTTCTAAAGGGGTAAAGCTCTGGCATTAATAGGAAATGGTCGCAATGCCTATATGCGTTATTTTTAGAACCTATGAAACTGTATAATCACGGTTAAGACCTACATTTGTCTATATACCCTGATGTATACTTCGTCGCCGGTGGTATATCCTCATCCGGCCGAGTGATGGGTAATTGATCGATATAAGAGTGAGTTCGACTCCAATTACCAGACCCCAAACCTCACTTCATGACGGCAAGTTCCAAATAAAATCCAAATCCAAATGCGCCGAGTCCAATCCGTAATCTAACTGACCGCTATCATCCCAAGTGCCGAACGGCGCCATCAAAGGATCTATTGGTAACCAAAGCCACTCATCTCCACTTTCATCCAAGTGTCCTAGCATAGGGTCATTCGACCCTTGCACTAGTTCGGTCTGCCCCGGTGATGATAGAGAATTGATATGCTCCTGACCTTCCAATTGAACATCCTTCTCTCTCTCCTGGGCCGAGGTCATGAAGGTCTGTCGCAGACGAGAAACATGGATCTGCAATAGGGCTGCGTATCGCGATATGAGCTGCATGTCGTCTAATGGGCTCGATTGCAGGGTAGTGATCGTCTGCTCAAGGAGATGTAATGATGCGTGAAGCTGCGTGGTTCGGACGCCTAGTGCCAGGGCTTTCATTAGGAAGATTGAGGAACTGATCACTCGTAGGAAGACGCGGATTGGGAGGTATTGAATGCTGGGTTGGATAAGTAACCATTGCAGGATCTCGGTCGACCTATTGATGACTTCGTCGATGCAGGTGCGGTCAGTGGTCACAGACTGGGTAGGTGAATTGAGGATGTTTTCGACCAGCGATTGGACTTTGATGGAGTTTGTGAACACTTGCAGATATTGGTATTCGACGTGCAGGATGGATTCCAGATGAGAGTCTGCATGCCTCATTAGCAAGGGAGACAACAAGACGGGGGCTACGGTGATCTACTCAATGTTGGCCGGCTGGCCTGCCAGCGGTAGAGCATGCTTTCCCAATCTTGTGACGACCTGCTGTCCCTCATCGCATTACCAGTCCTGGGTATTGATGGGAAATGTGTGTCTGTAATATCTTTAGCTAGTCGGATTAAGTCAACCCATGATGCCATGAAATACATCCATTCCTTGTCCACATAAGGACAATCCGTGATACCCTCAGACACGTTGACTACCGGCATCTCTGGGACAAGAGGCGTGCACCCCAGCCGGGAGGCAAGCATGCCTGCAAACACATACAATAAAGAAGGAAGACGGCGACGTCTCCACTCTAATTGTTGCAGATAGGTTACTGCGTCCGACCGCATACTAGACACATCATACTCATCCTTCCTCTTTCCACTATCACCCCTAAAAATACCTAGCTCATGAGCCAATGCCAGCGCAGTGCTCACTAGCATCCACGACATCCGGTCAGAGCGTCTAGTAGGTTCAACGACATCTTCCTTCCAGCGATCAGACATAGGTATCTCTTCTGCTGATGCCGGAGGATCTCTGAGGTCTGGCTCTGTAAGAATCAGATCTGAGTCCCATCCATCGTTCTCCAAGGGAAAGTTGAGTGCCCGGGGATACCATTCGCACATGAGGAGAAGTGCTTCGATCGAACCAACATGTCTTGTCTTTGCCTTTGAGAGCTTCTCCTGACCTAGCATGATGCGGAGGAGTAGATGCTGGTAGTGCTGCCATAGTCGATTGTGAATGGAGTATGCTCGGGAGGTACCACCAAATCCAGGGAGACCATGGTATCTTGACGAAATCATTAATATGGTGCAGCAAAGCATGGGTTCCTGAGTCACGAGCCAGTAGTGGTTTTCGGGCGTATTGTAGAAGTCGGTTAGAATGGGCGACAGAGGGAACATATTCTGGAAGAATCTGTATTCGTTAAAGTCTGGCCCATATAATTGGCTGTATGGAGCCTAGAGATCCGTAAACCTACAGCTCAACGAGAATGACTGCTTCACGGGCCTTGATCCATCCCATCCTAACGAACCGACAAGCGTTCCATATTCTGAGTACATCTGCATGAACGGGACTTCGCCCTTCACTATTGGTACTATTTTCCGTGGGAGTTAGTGATGTAAATGGAAAGGGGTTTGGTATATCCCCCTGTAAAAAGAGATCGAAAGGGTCATTTCCAGAGGGAACCAGGTGCTCTAAAGCCTTTACAGCATTCCTATTGGTATCTGACCGCATCTCTCCATCTTCTAGAATGAAATAATCAGAGTTGTTATCTATGATAGTGGGCAGCAGAAACTCACCTTCTTGCGATGAGTTCTGTTGAACTTCTTGCGTACCATCGCTAGCAATCCTCGAACGGGTGGCTCTTGGCATATTGGAGTCTTGACAGTTTAGGATTGGCGCATAACCCGGATAAAAGACGAAGAAAATAGCACCATACCAAGGTTCTCTCTCGCCCACGGCCTTTTCTCCGTAAACCGACAGTCCAGGTTCATCTTCTTACACCGAGAACATGGTGCCACACTTTCTTCCCCAAGCTCACATTTCGCTTTCCTTTCTCGGCAAGGGATGCATGCCTTATATGTACGACGGTAAGTATAGTCGGTGACAGCTCGACTGCGTGGCGGACGGTGCATGGCTGCATGCATGTAGTGGTGGCGGAAGAGGAGGTTAATTTATGTGGGGAAAGGTACATGCGGAGACTTTTAAATAGCCTTTTGGTTATTTTAAATCAACCCTAATTCATCTGCAGCGTCACTAACTAATTACGGTTACGGGTGGGGAACCGGCAATTGACATGTATTACTTGCATGCTCCTAGGTCCACATCGTCATGCATATCACAGTCAGAGTACCCTAAGTCAAGTACCGAAACTGTGGGTGATTGTCTCCCTCCCTCGTAACATCTACTCGGGCATCCGGGTCCACCGTCCCATATACTCGGTCACGTCGCCTGTTCTCATGGCTCAATTTCAGATACAGCCCTAATGCTAGTACTGCAATCAGACCAGTCAATGCACACCCGATGGCACACCCCCTAACATAGAATGGTCTGAGATTGTTTATTAGCTTGTATCCATTGCACCAAGCGAAGCCACGTTCAAAGGAAGAAAAGACAAGAGAGAAAAATAAAAGAAAGCGAGAAAGATTAGGAGAATAGAGAGAAACTCACCCTTCAGAATCCGGAAAGGCCGAGCTGCTCACAAAACTCGAACACTGACCGAAAACTGCCAAGATAGCCATGCCAGCCCCCTTCTTTGAATCCCCTCCCTGGTTGTTCAACAACCAAGTGATATTAATCGAAAGAGCGGGAAACACTCCGCAGGTCGCCAGCCACACTCCAAAATATCTCACCCCAGTTTTATGTTCATCCTCCACCGCGGCGAGGATGAGGTATCCTACCATACCGACCATGGCAGACACAGTGATCACTAATCCTCTATGTCCCCATCGATCAGATATAATGGCTGCCACGATGCAGAGGAGGAATGACGCGAAGTATGGAGGCGCCGAGAGTCCCTGTGCGTTGACAGAGGTATAGCCCATTTCTTTGATAATGGTGGGAAGGAAGTTGGACAGTCCAGCAAAGGAGTAGTTGCAGCAGAAGTGGATTGTCATGTGGACATAGTTCTTATAGTCAGCTAGTCCTTGGAGGATTTGTTTCCATTCCATCCGGTTTTTAGCAGTCTGATCGACGGTTTGGAGGCGTTCAACAGCTTGGGTTTGTTCGGTTTCGGTAAGGCATTTGGCGGTTCCTGGAGAGTCAGGGAGGCAGAGGAAGACAACGATGGAAAAAAGGACTGTTGGTGCTCCTTCTATACAATGTGTCAGTCTGGTATCAATCAGAAGCTTTGTATTCATCCTTTGAAATAGGAAGCGACATACCAATAATAAATAGAAGACGCCACGGCGCGATGGAATTACGGATATGAGTAATGCCAAAGGCAAGTGCACTTGCGAAGCAATTTGCCACAGGTGACATTCCCAGCAGCATGGAGACACGGAATCCAAGTTCCCCTCTCTGGTAGAATAACGATAGAAAGTAGGGTGCGCCTGCCCCAAACGCAGCCTCGAATATACCCAATAGACAGCGGCAGACAATTAGCTCAGCCAAATTCGTCACTGCACCACTGCACATCGCGGCTGCTCCCCAGCTATATTGGTTCAGCGTTGATCAGCCCACTAGTCTCAAGGCCGGCAAACCTACCAGATACAAAGAATAGCAACATAAATGTGAGCGGGTAGAATCTTCCACAAGACTGTAGTCCATTCAAATAGAATGTAGCATATGTAGAATGAGTACAGCACCCAGGACCATTCCTTGTCGTCGAGACCAAGTGCCGTGTCTATGCCAGCTGTCTTGGCGTTTCCGATGTTTCCTGTGCGCATTAGTCTGGGACGATATACTGGTAATGGGAGGCAAGAGCACACTGTACCTCGGTCTAGATAAGACAATATGTACAGTATGCAGACTATTGGCAAAACGCGACGATCAAACTGTCCGAGTCAGCCCTAAGCCCCTTACTTCGATATAATACATACCTTTCGGCGGATGGATGCCTGGTCCGCGGACCGCACATGAATGTGCTGACCATCTTTTGCATCTTGGAATTGTGCTTGCTCCAGATGAACAGTTTTAGACTCCTTGACTTCGTTTTCGCTCATTGTTAGTCAAGTTCAAGTCACTATATCTCAATTCGAATCTGAGGTAGACACGAAATGGCAATAGCGATATCACGGCTCAGTTAATCCCCACAGCCCCATGTCCAACAAACAAGTATACCATATTTATATCTGTTGCAGGTGAGCTTCCCCGCATTGACCTCCCTTCCCCATGGGGTAGGGTTATAGCATCCCCCTACACCGGGTATCCCGCCCCAGCGCGGATAATTGGCAATATCCGCAGTCAAATACCCGCACGAACTATACGCCTTATCGCCATCAAAACAACAGCTATATAACGTCCACGATCGCCTACCCTTGGTTTCAATACATCATCACAGAATTCAAAGCACATAGCATTCCACTGACCAATTCCACATCACCACTTGTTCAAAATGACTCTCACCGAGACAACCCCCTACCCCTTCACCTTCACCACCAGCCCGACAAACCAGCCCTCAAGCAAAGATGCCGCCAGAGACCAGACCCTCACCCTCAAGAATGTCCGCGGCAAAATCCCCTCCATCCAAGCCTCCACCCTCCGCACCATGATGCTTGAGGCGCACTCCGACCCCACAAAGATTATCGCCCACGCCTGCTCCTACGATGGCCTCTCCTCGCGCCTCGTGCAGGAAGCCGGCTTCCCCATTGTATTCCTGGCCGGTTACGCCGTGGCCAGTTCTTATGGACTCCCGGATACGGGGTACATTGCCATGGCGGAGATGTGTGACAAGATCCAGGAGGCCGTGCGCGCGACGGATATTCCTGTTATGGCAGATGGGGATACCGGGTACGGAAGTCCCATGAATGTCAAGCGCACGGTGGAGAGCTTTGCAGTTGCTGGTGCGGCCGGGGTGATGATCGAAGATCAGACGTGGCCGAAACGTATGTCCCCCGTTTCTTTTCCTTTCCCCTTACTTTTGTTGTTTGTTGTGGTGGATGGGAAGACCTGGCCATAGATCCAGAGACTAACAAGATGCGTAGGATGCGGCCACACCAAAGGCAAGTCCGTCGTATCGAGAGGCGAAGCGTACGCCCGGATCCAAGCGGCCGTTGATGCCCGGAACAACGGCCAAGATATCTTCGTTCTGGCGCGTACTGACTCCCTAATCCACGGATGGGAGGAGGCTATGACCCGGGCGAAGGAGTTCAAGCGCATCGGTGTAGACGCCGTCTTCGTTGAGGCATTACCCGATCGCGAGGCGATGCAGAAATGTGTGCAGGAACTACAACTGCCTGTCTTTGCGAATATTATTGAGGGCGGGCTGACGGAGAACCTGTCAGCCAAGGATCTGGCTGAGCTCGGGTTTTCGGCCGTTGCGTATCCGTGGACGCTTGTGGCGGCCAAGCTGAAAAGTATTCGCGAGACGCTGGAGGCGTTGAAGAGGAGTATGACTACTGGGGCACCGCCCATGATTCTGGACTATGCGGATGTTTGTGAGGGCGTTGGATTTAATAAGTATTGGGTAAGTCCAGTTAGGGTTTCGTAATGGGCTTCCTTGAGGACTTTCGCTAACTGTGACTTAGGATCAGGAGGTGAGATATGAGTATAATGAGAATGGACTGGTGGGAAATGGGAACGGAAGAGGATAGTGGGGGTGGCATAGCTTTGGGTGTATTTAACGATATGATACGATATAGCATAACTGATCGTTAGTAACTTTGCACATTCTAGGTTTACACGCGTCCTCCATCGTGGAGTCAAGATGCTGACCTCCACTTCCTTAGCCCATGTTCGGGGAACATCTGGTTAGATCACAATAACCATAGATACCAATAGGAGGACGCTCAATTAGATCATAATCCAACGACCCATAGATTCGCTCAAAGCTAGGTGCAATCTAGATCTCTATGTACTCGTCTGCGCGCAATCTTGAAATTCCAGGTAAATCCATTAAATCCTAAGTGCTCATGGGTATGTTGCAATATAGCATATGGGGCGTCAAAATCAACAGAGACAACAAAAAAGGCTACATCAAACACACAAAGTAAGACCTATCAAATACAGGATATATGTCATCAATCATGCCAATGCACCGCCGTGCGCTATTATAGGATTAAAGTGAAAACGTGATGCAAGAAAAGAGCTTAGCCATGAATGCAGACAATGCAACGAAAATCAAAAGAAAGGCTCATTACTTCTAACGGCGAGAGGCCAGTTTCCACCTGCCGCCACCCCAGGACAAGATTCCTTCCTGGATAGCCCAGTCGCGAAGGGCAATGTCCTCCTTCTCCGAGTCCAGAGAGACATCACCCTTCTCGTAGTGGCGACCGACATGCTCCATCCGCAGATTCCAACTTTGAAAGCCAGCGAACTCCTCTCCGCAAAAGCCACATGCGCTACGAGGCGGCGCTCGGCGTTGTTCATGCCAACATCGAATGCGCACCGCCTCAAGGTCCGCATCAAATTGTTGTTTCTCCTCTTCGGTGGCTTGGCTGGACTTGGCCCAGGGTGCGTGCATCCGACGGTGGTGCTGGGTGAAAAGATCTTTGCGGTTGAAATCGTTGGTGCAGCTCATGGGTCTGGCTCTGCTCGCATTGTTAATATTGCACTGGCCCACATCACAGCGATAGAATCCTAGCTGGACATGCTGTGATGTTACATGTCGCTTCCACTCATTCTTAGAGGCAAAGGAGCTAGTGCATCCATAGCGGGAGAAGGTGCAAACAAAGGTACGACGGGGCCGTGTGCCTTTTTTGGTCTTTGATTTGGCGGACGTCCGACAAACGCGGGCAGAATTGGAAGTAACAGGTTCTCTCTTCCGGGAACCCTTCTGGCTGCGGTTATTGTAACGCGTCGCCTCTCCCTGACCAGCGTGTTGGTTTGCCGGTACACGTGGGGGACTAGGCGAGACAAATGAGTCCTGGTCAGGTGCTTGTCCTGCGCCAAGATAGCTGAGTGTGTCGCTGGCATGGTCTAGTTGGCTGTGTTGGTGCATGTCATGGTTATGCATAGGGATTGACTCATTGCCTGGTATGCGTTCCGCGTCGAGTTGAGCATCGAGTTCAGCGATCGGTATGGGCATAGGATAGTTCTGCACAATCTGAGATGGAGCGACTGAGGGCTCGACATTCACAGAAGGTCCCGGGGAGCAAGAGCCCCAGTGATCGAGTGGCGGCAGCACTGAGTCCGCGCAGCTGGCCGGCGGGGACATATAGCATCCCATGTTTCCCCAATTATTGGTTGGAGGGGTTTCAGCTTCGGTGGATGAATAGCCACTACCAAAGGATGGGGAGACGTCGGACACCATAGGATAGGCTCGGGCCTCCATGCTGTAAGGTGAACTAGTTGGATTTAGGTGCACGCCTGGGGTCGATAGAGGCATGGACGAGGGAAGCCACGAATTCTTCATGGTGAAGTCAACATGGGATATCTGGCGTTCGATCTCGGCAGTGCGCTGACAAAACACAGGATCAGCAAATGAGTCTGGGTCTGGGAAAAGCTCGTAGTCCTGGGTGGTGGAATGTTGAGGGTCGGTAAAAGAGTTGGGGTCGTCCATCGTCCACGAGTTCCGGCAATCCTTTCTTTCTGGGAAAACAGATAGATGAAGGGAATTGATCGAGAAGAAAAAAAACACCAAGCGTCATAATTCTGGGCGATCACGAATTTTTATTTTCAGCTGAGAACCTCGAACCGCATGTGTCTTCACCTTGGGTGCCCATCAAGCCGGGCAAAGCCAGAACCAAGCTGAGAAAAGAGATGGCGATCGGCGATCCTGAATGGCTGTTGTAGAGCCGCAAATCCTCTGAAAACCAAACCGTCCAAAAAGAGTGATCGTCATCGAGTGGAAATACGTACTCCGACATTGATGGGAAGCGCCGCCCCTGCAGCGGTCGGGAATGATCATTTGGCGCAGACTGGGGCTACTCGAATGGACCAGTCGTAGCATTTTTCCTCCCCCCTTTTTCAGCAATTTTTTTTCGTTTAATTACTTTTCCAGCGAATCCGACAGGAGTCGGACAGGTGGCTGTTTGACTACAAGGGTGGGTGCCCTCGTGGTTCACGATTAGGGGTGGAGGAACCGCCATGATGATAGCTCCGAATGCTTGCCATTGGGGTAAATGATTGGATACAAATGCTCCAGCCTAAGAGAGCCTCACGCGCTGTCAGTCTGGAATGAATTTAGGTAGGGACTTCGGAAGATTCCATTCCAGGATCTGCTGTCGTCCACGACGGTTTTGGCTTTCAAAAGCCGCGTTTTCCACGTGCATATTGTCAATAAAGAGTATGCAGTGCAGTTGCTGGTCGCGAATCCTCCAAAGACGTATGGATGAAGGCAACCGAACGGAGAAAAAAAAAGAAAAGAAAAGAACAAGTCAGGGATCATTTGGAATGAAGGGAGATTTTTGCGCGAAGTGCAACCAAAGGCCAAGTCAGCCTCAGCGCCAGTACCCCCAGGCAGTGCTGCTAAGAAAGCCAAAAATGCATTAGTCCATGCACGACCAGTCCGCCGTACCCACAACCGCGACAGACTCGTGGGGAAAGGAAGCCTTATCGAACCCATCAGCGTTCATTTCCCCCATCGTAATAGCACGCGAACCAATTCCAGGTGTCAGCGGTGATGGAGCTGTCTGCAGGGGATAACTGGAAAGGGCAGGATCAGATGTCCATCATTCTCTCTCAGTGGCTGACAGTTTGGGGCGTTTTTCGCCCGTCCCATCGATGCATGAATGCATCCTTCTCTCTGACTCTTGTCCCGTTCAGGAATCGTAACGCGAGAGATCCTCGGTGCCGCAGTCACCTTGCGTTTATCCCACAGAGAGAATCATTGTGCTCCTGTCATTAAACGCGCGACATCATAAATAGCGTCCAGGGAGGGGAGACGGATCGACTCCAGAAGGTTGATAATAATAGATAGTCGAAGACCATGACTCCATTGTACTGGATGCGCCTAGATCAGTCCTGACAAGACGGCGCACGAAGAGAGTAAAGATTCCGAGAAGGACCTCAGGTATCTACCCATTTCACACAACCGTTTTACCGCCCCCAAACTACTTTAAAATACCGATGGTACACAGCGTGACCACCGATGGACGGCCATTGGGGGTGGTTATTGGTCTTCGGCAACCGGGCCCCTCAGTTCCAGTACCCGAAACCCTGCCCCAGAACCACGCTGGAATCTTTCTGGCTGACCACCATCTTTACGAGTCATGCTCTTGTCACTTTGCTTCTTTTCCTGTCAGTAAGCAAAAAAAAAACAAAATACTTCTTGCTTCTATTATTTTTTTTTTTCTTTT